ATATTCTTGTTCCTGTAATCCTGGCTTCATCCTCAATCCAGACAGCCGGACCTGTCAAGGTAAACACATTCACAAGCACCGGGCCACGGCTTTACAACAGGAAAAGAAACACCTGTATATCGTGTACCAGTGTTGTCAGCTTCCAGCTTCTGTTGTTCCAGATGTGGATGAGTGTGCAGATGAACCTTGTAGTCATGGCTGCTTGAATACCTACGGGTCCTACATGTGCAACTGTGACGAAGGATTTGAGCTGGCATCTGATGGTACTACTTGCATTGGTGAGGAAGATTTTATTCTTTTGATATATCAATATTAATCTATCTTTGAAGCAGTGTGAATAATTGAGTCGGTAAAGAACCAGAAACTGAGATGCATTTTTGTAAAAAGGAGCAAAAAGTTGTATGACAGAGGTGAATTGAACAGAATAAAAATGTTTGCTTTGGCAGCAGGATCACAGAGAGCAGGTGTGCTGTATGAGACTAGTTCCAGTTTATCACAGGCTAGGTCGACACAGTTTAGAAAGAGCAAGCTGCATGACTGACACCGTGCAAAACATGCAGACTTCACTCAGACATATTGAGGCGGGCTCGGTTGAGCTTGAACACTGAACACTGTTGGTGCTGATGTCCTTTTCTGATAGGTGTTAATTCTGTTTCTTGCTTCGTGCAGACTTGGATGAGTGCAGTTTCTCTGAGTTTCTGTGTCAGTACAGATGTGTCAACATCCCCGGTTCTTACTCCTGCATCTGTCCACCTGGATATTATATATATGAGGACGGCAGGAGCTGTGAGGGTAAGAAGATGAGGAACTCTCACACAGATACATCATTTCCTAACTGAATGCATTAGTTTATGTGATAAAGTTATTATTGTTATCAGTTAAATACTTCTCTTGACTCAGGACACATGCATCTATTTTTCTTTAATATCAACATTGTTGAAGCTTCTTCTTCTTCTCTCGTGATGATTATGTTTAAACTGACTTTGATTGTTGTGTGTTTGATTCTTAAAGATGTCAATGAATGTGACACTGGTAACAACACCTGTACAACAGCACAAGTGTGTTTCAATTTCCAGGGAAGCTATACATGCCTGAATCCTTTACAGTGCAACCTTCCTTACATCGAAGTTAGTGACAAGTGAGTCTTACTTCTTCGCTTTCTCTAGACGCCTTTTAACACCAAATTCTAAACTGTTTCACTGCTTATTTGTTTAAAATATCCTCTAAAGCTTAAAGTGACCGTGTCTCCTCCTTGGCAGTCAGTGTATGTGTTCAGCTGAGAACCCTGCCTGCAGGGATAAGCCCTTCACCATTTTGTACCGACACATGGACATGTCGTCGGGGCGCAGTGTGCCTGCAGATATCTTCCAGATGCAGGCCACCACGCGCTATCCCGGCGCCTTCTACATCTTCCAGATAAAGTCGGGCAACGATGGGCGAGAGTTTTACATGAGGGTACGTTTTTCAGAGACCCATCAACAGAAGATATGGCAGATGGAAGACTTTAGTGCACTATATTAATGCAAAGTAACACAATAAATGAAAGTGGGCCCCCACTCCTACAGAAACTCAAACTCTATAGATGGGGAAATTCAAGGAAACTGCAGAACTAGGCAGGAAAGGAAATGACAGTAGTGTTTGGTTGTTAAAGAATGCAGTCCAGAAACTCCACAGCTGTGACTGTTTAGTTACCAAAGATGTTTCCAAAATCAGTCTTGGACTTGTCCTAGATGATGATAATTCACCAGCTTAATAGTGAGAAAAACATATTAGAATCACTGCAAAGAAGATACCATGCGACGCAAGAAAATCTCCTTTTTATTGTATTGCATTTATCTTAAAGGTTAAGTAATGCAATGCTTGACATTTATCTAAAAAGATGAATGAATACAAATGTATTCATAATGAAATACTGAAAACAACTGAAAGAATTATGTAAGTGCATTACAAAAACTTTTGTCTAAAAGATACATTTAATGTAATCCATCTTATTGATTCAGTAATATGATATAATGTAACAAAATAGGCGTTTGATCTGAGATTTAAGTAAGACCACCTGGAGCACCTTTCCTTGTAATGCTTTATTATTTCCATCTAGTATTGGCACTTATCTAAGTGAATAGTATCAGCACTTCCTCGTATCATTACACAGTGAGATGATCGGGATTTGTTCACCCACAGCACGGAGTGACATGTAACCGAAAATACAACAAATAATTACACAAAGTTTTTGATCTTCATTCTAATACAAACCATATTCTCTCCCAAAATTGGGACATTGCGTAAAATGTCAATTAAAACAGAATGCAATGATCTGAAAATCCAATAAGCCCATATTTTAGTCATAATAGAACATTGAAAACATGACATTTTAAATTTAGACCTTTTGCTATTTCGAAAAAAAAAAAAGAGTTCATTTTGACTGTGGTGGCAGTAACATGTCTCAAAAAGTTGGAATGGGGGTAACAAAAGGCTGTAAAAGGAAGTGGTGCTAAAAAGAAACAGCTCGAGGAACAATTCGCGACTAATGAGGTTAATTAGGAACAAGTCAGCTGATGTTCTTTTTATACCCAGAAGTAAATGGACAGAGGTTGACCAATCTGTAAAAAAGTACATGTGACTTACTGGCTGAAAACACTAGAGTATCGTGAAACCAAAAATACGAGGACTTCTGAGCAGTCCAACATCCTCCATGAGACAAGAATGGGACAACATTCCTCTCAAAAGTCCAACAGCTGGTCTTCTCGGTTCCCAGATGTTTACAGACTGTTGATAAAAGAAGGGGGGCTGCTACACAGTGGTAAACATAGCACTGTCCTTTTCTGAGATGTGTTGGTGTCATCAAATTTAAAATGAGCTCATAAGTGATACATTTTCTCAGTTTAAGCATTTGACATGGTTTCTATGTAGTTTTATGAGTAAAATGTGGGTTTATGAGATTCTCGAATCATTGCATTCTGTTTTTATTTACAGTTTGCACAGGACTGATTTGACGTTTTAAAATAAGGACTCGAGTTTGTGCTCAGAGACGGAAAGAAAAAGATGGTAGTTTTGATCCTGGGCTAAAGTTAGGGTTAGATCTTTTTTTTTGTAGCTGTGATTATGATCAAATTCTAGATACACTTCAAAGAAATATCAGGTGTTTAGATAAGATTGGCTACGGAATACCATTTATTTTGAATAAATTATAAATATATATATGTGTGTACCACAGGTTTAATGAGTTGTAAGAACCTGACAATGCAGAGTGCACCCAGCAGATGGTGTAATGTATCTGAGAAGCTGAGTTTGATCAGAAACTGCTAAGTTGGCTTTCTAAACAAGTGTGCTCTTGTTTTATTTACTGGAAGTTGTATAACCAGGCACTGAGCCACGTGTTTCTTCCGCTGTGTGCAGTAGTGTTTCCTGTAATTCATTCCTCACATTCCCCTTTTGTCTCTGTCCTCTTTCTCTTAAAGCAAACCAGTAATGTGAGCGCCACGCTCGTCTTATCGCGGCCAATCAAGGGGCCGAAGAAGGTGGTGCTGGACCTGGAGATGGTCACGGTCAACAATGTCATCAACTTCAGAGGCAGCTCCATCATCCGTCTGACAATATTTGTATCAGAGCATCCGTTTTGAGGGTCCCAAATGAACTTCATTGCCACAAAAGAAAGTCAAGCATGAAGCAGCTGTTTTCACCTGCAGCTGATGTAATAGTTTGCTTGTTGCCCCCCTTCCCCCCTCATTATGTCACCTTCGGTAGAGACACAACAGGACTCCGCTGAGAACAGCTGACGGGAAGACTTTCCCGTGCTGGAATCTCCACCCTTGTTTAATAGACACTGAGCTTTTACGACTACGATATTGACTTTCAACACACAAACCCACGCACACACAGACATGCAGGGATATTTATGGTGTACAATTTCAGAGGACGACCTGACAACAGCAACATCACGGAGAATCGGTGTATATACACACGAGCTCGTCCATTTGTCTGTGAACCTTCATCCCTTCACATAAGCTGTGAGTTTTATGTTGTCATTTCCTCTCAAGTGGCATCTGATCTTAGCTGACAAGAGGAGAGCCAGTTATCCGAAGCAGAAGTGTAAATGTGCATTTTACAGAGGCAGTATTTAAAATGATGTAACAACAAGTCATTAATTGAATTATTGATCACAGTTTCTTTTTGACCAATAAACTTCTTCACCACACAAACAGCTGTCCCTGGCATGAGGCGGCTCCCAGACTAATGCATCACCTGGTTTTGTGGATACTCTGGGGAATTTGGGATGGGGATTTTTTTTGGCACTATAACAAAATGTGGGATTATATCAATGCATTTTAGGGGTCACTTTAGCAAAAACTCCTGAAACAACAGCTAATTTATGGATTATAATGTGGGACTGTGATACATTTTGAATTACTGCATTTACACATATATACAAAAGTGTCAGTTTGGGATAAGTATGGGTTGATAGCAGCACTTATTTGGGTATCAGAATTTGTGAAAAGGGCATATAATAAACCATTGGGTGCTATACCATGTGAGGGTTACTTAATATGGATGTTATAGCAACACTTGATTTGAATATGGGGAACCACATTTTTAACACCTCTTGTAAATTTTTTCAGGGTCTAAACTGTTAATAGATTTGAGGGGTGACTGAGAAAATTTGCGTGATTTGGGCACACATGACGGTTTTTAGGTATATAAAGAAAAAAATGTATATATTTACATATCAGCAAATGTTTTGCAATCAGCGAATTCAGTCTACATTAATTAATCGGTGGGTAATATGTCAAGTATAGGCGACTTAGAAGGAAAACAGTAGCTTGAGAAAGTTATGACGTGTTTTCTTTCAATTTCTTATTTGCGTCATTGTTATCTCAGCAAGGAGCCGTAAATCTGTCAGTAAGCGCCGATCCCGGGAGATGGCCAAGTTCCTGCTGGGATGATGCACACAATGCAAACATATCGACCGAGGATGAAAAGAAACAAATGACAGTGAGCACACAGCGATAAGTGAAAAACAAAAAGGTAATAATAGAAAGCGCTGTGATCACAGCTGTTCGGGGAAGGAAGCGCGCGCCACTGTCAGTCCGGGAATGACAGAGGAGAGAAGCGTGGGCGGGAGTAAGAGAGGGAGGGATCCAGACCTGTAACGAAAGTCAGCCTTAAACCTGAGCTCGGTGGCATTTCTCTCCCGCCTGCCGGTGAGTGTGAACCTCAGGCCTGGGTGGTCGAAGCGGATCCTCTTTAAATGAAAACAAGGCGTCGGTAAGTTTATTTTTTATAAACTTTTTTTGTATCTGTGTTTTGTTTGGTAAGTTAAAGTGATGTTTGATGATATGCTATTTTTAGCGTGCGCCATAGGGAAATTCCTCCATCCACTGGCAGCCCAACTGGTTTATTAAATAACTAGTTATTAAGTTTTAAGCGGTGAGTTAATCAATAATCCCGGTTAATCAAAGCCCCCTGAAGAAAGTCATGGCAGTGAATGTAGTTGTTTGTTTCTGGGGACTAGAATAGTTGTAGAAGTGGTGTGGAATGACTGAACTTTCTTATGTTTATGTGTCTTATGATTTTTTTTATGTGCTCCTAATTTGAGCATATAACAGATAACATATATTTTTTAATGTATCCGATTTATAAAGTGTGGTCACACCATAGCAACAGGTACTTATACCACATTTAAGCACTGTCAAAAAATGACATGTTACCAAATTAAATTTGGGGGTGATATGAGGGGACCTTGAGATCTCAGATCATATCAAAGAGTGGAATTCAACAGATATAAAATAGCCTACCACACTGTGGCAACTGCAGAGCAGGTAAACAAGTTCAGCACATTTTGGGGACTTTCCTAAAATTTATTAGACTTGTGCAAGCGGACTATTTGTTTTAAAGGTGGTGACTGCGGCTCAGGAAGCAGAGCAGGTCATCCACTTATTGGAAGGTCACTGGTTTAATCCTGGGTACCTTGAGTCTGCATGCTTGCATGAATGTCAGAGTAACTCAGTGACTGAGGCTTACAGATCAAAGTGCTTTGAGTGTTCAGTTAGATTAGAAGTAGCAAACCCAGGTCATTTTGGCATGTTCCATGAATAATTTTTGGCTTTGGCTTTTCATTGTTATCCACCTTGTTACTGTTTACCATGCAATCTGCAACTTCCACTTACTATTTCAACATTTAAATATTTCCAGATTCAGCCATGGAGTGCATCAAAAACTGCTGCAAGAACTTCATGAAGAAGAACGAGCAGGAGCGGGAGACCCAAGGTAAGCTGCCGTCCTGCACAGATGTGTATCAGACAGGTTTCAACAGACCTACTTGTGTCTCACTGAATAATATCTTCTGTTTTAAAGTGATTGCACTGAAGATGCCCCCTAACACGGCAGCAGCCCCAGGACCAAATGTATCTGAAGATTACTTACTTTCCAAGATGCCCCCAGACGGCAGAGAGGTTCCGTTTGTTGTGCCGACCTATGTCCAACCAAGCTACCCTAATTTACAGGCTGAGCCACAGAGTACGTACTTGTATCAGTTAGTACATTTTAAGTCTTAAGGTGTGTATATGATTTAAAGAATCAAACAGTGGTGATCCAAATTAGTTATAGCGTGTGAGAGGATAGTGATGACTTATAGGATGGGCTGGTAAATAATGATACTTCCAGTAATGAGACTGAACTGTTGGTTTCGGTTCTGCTTCATATCAATATTTAAATATTTGCAGTCTGCCTTAAGAGTTATCCTAAAAGCAAAACATATAAATTAACAGACAAATTATAAAATAAAAACTGCTGTTTGTACCTGTTTTATTTGACTGGCTGTACTAGAATGTGAGTTAACAAAAATGACTTTTGCTGGTGATTGTTTGCCAAATCTGGCTCATTTGGGCTGAATTCCTTCTAAATGAAGCCGAATTTCTGCTCAACTCAGCCCACGTCTACACTCAGATTCCAGGGAATATCACAACAAAACGTATGACTACGCTGACTTGGAAGTTTACACCTGGGGTATGATCAACTAGTGCAGGATCCTACTGCCAAAAGTGGAAACATTTACTTTTAATTTTAATTCACTCTTAAATTCAACAAGAAGCCCCACAAGACAGATAAGTGAAAGTTACATAACATGCCTCAACTCAGGGTTAGTTTGACGCAAAGGCTACGGCAAACAAACAGAATCTAAGCTGCAGTAAATCTATCTCAGGGGTTATTAAGATATTATCGGCTCTCTTCAATGCACTGAAGTGAAGGCACTTTGTTTCTTGATGAATAGCTATTCATACTTGTTAGAGATGCAGAGAACAATAATGTGCTTGAAGCATGATAACAACCAGCTGCGCTGTTTGCTTGCAGGTTCAGCCCGGTGCACATATGCAGCAAGGAAGGCAGAGCTGGTCAGCACCACTCCCTTCATCTACTACCCTGAGTCCTTCTTCCATCAGGGTCACATGGCAGAGCACATCTCCCCCGGCTCGAGCCGCCGAGACACAATGAAGAAGAGAAGCTTTGGTCCACAAAGCCCAGGTACCAAATACCAGAAAAAGTGGTATTTTGTTGTTTAATATGAAACACAACAGACTGAATACCTGTCCGAGGTGTACCCCATACCCACCTCTCGCCTAATGGCAGCTGGGACAGGCTCCAATTCCAACATGATCCTAAATTGGATAAATGGAAGAAAACGGATGGATGAAAGGAATATGAAACAAGAATTTGGGCATGATTTAACTAAAATTGTGGTAAACATATTAAATAATGACAAAATTGGACATAGACACATGTTTCATCTTAGTACTGAGCAGTTTATTCAGTAGTTTACTGAGCTCTACTTGAACTCATCAACAGATTGCTGCAGAGTGAAGCATGAAAACCAGAATTATCTCAGGATTGAAACAGCTTCAAAACATCTTTTTATCTTTTTTCCCAGGTTGGAATATGAAGTTAGGTGGCCAGGAGCGACTGAGCAGCTCCATGTTTGATTTGTCCAACCCCCAGGGTCACATGCAGGTGAGACCGTCCTCTATCTAATCTGTATTCACACAGAATTCTCACCTTGTCTCAACCTAGACTAAATATAGTTTTTATAGTTTCCACTGTCCTCAGCAGCATAGTGGAGAATTGCAAACAAGGCTCAGAAGCTGGTATTTTGATTTAAGCAGCAAAGAGTGTAATGTGTACTGTGTAATGCAGCTACCTCTATATTTACCATACAGACATGAGATTGGTATGACTCCTGTCCCATAACACTTGGTAGAAAAAAGAAGTGAGAATAAGTGTTCTGAGATTAGTTAAGCCAAGTAGTAGTTATCAACTGATCTGACAATGAAATAAAGATGAAATCTTCTTTAGAGGATGTTTACAGTCGCGTTTAGTTATGTAACTGTGTAATTTATTTAGGTAGTAGACCTCATTTAAAGCATTCAGTTACCTTCAGTCTCAACTAATAATCTATGGCTAAGATAAGCCTATAATTTTGTTTTAAAATTACGACGATGAATTTGAAAGTCGTGATTCATTTTTGGGCTTATTCTTCCACTTTAGTAGCTATGATAAAATCTACTTCCACATGTGATTCAGCTCCAGCTGTTTTGATTGAACATACCTGTTGATTGCCTTTGATAAAGTGGCCATTTATCAGTAATGCCAATTTAAAAAAAGACCAGGTTGGGTTGGATTTCTTTGTTCAATAAAGGATGTGGTGTGATACACCTGTCATCAGCTCCTTGTTACTTTACATAAATAGTTGACTGTCTCTTACAATCAATCTAGTCACTCCCTAAACCTAAATAAACATTACAAAACCTCATTCAGAGCCCACGGTGTGAAAAATGTCAGAGCAGTTTCTTCCTGGGAACTAACACAGATACATTTCTGTGCATTTCTTTTGGCTTGATGGCTCACTACGGCATCCATTGCATGCACAACTGCAGTTAAATTAGCATAGCTGTTTAGTTTGACACCATCATGAGCAAACAAAAGTTTTATAGGCAGAAAATCCAGAGGATACTGCAGGGCAATCACAGGGGAGCTACACACCACATCATACTATGTTTTTTCTCCATTTTACTCTAAATGGCACCACAATTTATAAAATGAACAACATTCTTTGTAAAAGAAAACTTAAACTGATGAGCCAAAATATGAACTTTTTAGAAGGTTTGAGCCCCTTTATGTGTGGTTTAAAACAAACACAGGATTTTATAAAAAGAACATCAAACAAGTCAAACATGGTGGCGGTAGTGTAATGCTTTGCTGCTTCAGGACCTGCTAAAGTTCATGTGGGTTATGTAATAGCACAATGATCTGAAAGTAAGTGCAGCAAGTCCACCTACGAATGTTAAAAAACACACACAAAAAAAGCAAAAAAAAAAAAAAGGACTGACCTTGTCAAAATCTCAACTAAAATCAGATTGAGATGCTTTAGCCTGACCTTAAATGGGTCGTTCACACTCAAAAACTCCTCCACTTTGGCCTCTTTAAAGCAATTCAGGAAAGCAGAACGAGCCAAAATTCCTACACAATGATGCGAATGACTCATTTTGAATTATGACAAACACTTGGTTGCAGTTCTTGGTGCAAGGGTGGAACAACCAGTTATTGTTTTAGAAGCAATTACATTTCCACACAGGGCCAGGTAGGTTTGGATAGCTTTTTACCCCTAATAACTGAAATTGTATTCTTAAAATTTCTTTAATGATAAGTGTGACACATTTGCTAAGAAAAAAAGGGGGTGTGGGATCAAGAAGGGGGAAACTGCAGAAAGTCTGGTCTCACACGTGTCGTCTGTTCTGTTTTCCTTGCAGCGGTTTGAGTCCCTCAGCAGTGCATCCTCCAAGATGAGCTCCATGACAAGCAGCCTGGGTAAACATCATACAAACAAACCTTTTTGTTCTAGCAGTTTCCCAATGTAAAAAGAAAAAGTGACTTTCAACCTTAGTTCCTGATATATAATGTTTCTGGCTTTTTCATACAGCCAAGCAAATCATTTTTGGGACAAAGGCACAGTTTTTGAAATTAAACAATCAAGATGTGACTGAAGTGGAGACTTTTAAGGGGTTTAATCAAAATGTAGCATTTACTGTTTAGGAATTTTCAGAGGTTCAAAAGTAGCTGGAAAAACAATTATAATCCCAAATATAAGGATTGTTTTTAATATCACAATTAAAATAATTGCTTGAAATTTAGAACTCATGGACATCACCAATTTCTGTGTTTCCTCCCTTGAGATGCTCCTCTCACCCTTTAGTGCAGCAATCTTGAGTTACTGTGTGTTTGTAAATCTTTCTGCCTTGAGTTTTGAGTTTAACAATTGAAAAGCATCATCTTTAAAATCTTTAAAACATCATATTATACAGTACATAAACTCGTATTTAAATGCTAACGCCACATCCTGCTGTCTGTTTCCAAATGTTGCAGAGTCTGTCACCTTGTCTGGGGATGAGCGCGAGTTGGGGAAGGTGTGTGTCCGGCTGAACTATCAGGAGGCTCTGGAGCAGGTGTGGATCACCCTGGTTCAGGTAAGGTTACATGCAGTATGGAGGAGGGGGATTCAGGGACAAAAAGCCCTATTGTGGTCACTGGTAGCATTTCTCAATGGACCCTCTGTGCGTCCAGAATACAGCTCTCCTTTAGCTCCTCTCAATGCTCTATTAACTCCGGCTCAGACACTCAGAAGGAAAAGTTCCTCTAAGGGAACTGAACTGTCCTGACTGACGTTACAATAGTTCCAACATCGTCTAAGGAAGTGTATGTTTATTCAGAAATCAAAACCCTACACTAAATAAACTTCTACTGCAGATATGTACTCTAACTCCACAAGGTGTACTCTTCTGCCAGCTTTGATTTGGGATTTGTTGTTGGTTTGGGTTTGTTTTTTATCCTAAGGTCACATTAGTGGCACTTGATCTTGCCACTAATGTCTGGCCTGATGACTTTCTTAGAACAAAACCTGAACTGTTTTTTTTTTTTTTTTTTCATCTTTTGTTCCAAGTAGAGCGCCGTGGATAAAACCTTTGTTGTTCTACACACAGACTGAACCACATCTTCTTTTTTTAACAGTGCTCAGACCTCAACCTTCATCCGGATGGAGGGGAGCAGCAAATGATTGGTTTCAAATCAATCATTACCACCCCCAAACCCATACAGTTCAAGAGCTCAGTTAGAGAGTACTGTCAGGTATTGATGCTGTTTATATTTATTAAGTTTTTATAGGCCCTTAAACCGCTATTGCAGAACTGCCTAATCTCTACTTTAACCTTTCTTTGCTTTCAGGATGTGTCCTTCATGGAGACCTTTGTGTTTGCGCTGCATCTCCAGCTGTTGCGCTGCAGTGCCCTGGTGCTGCGACTGCAGACACACAACCCCAAAAAACGTACGGTGGCAGAGTGTGTCCTTTCCCTGCGACACCTCGGTTCTCAGGAGACGGAGCACTGGCTTGAACTCAACCCTCCGTCTAAATCTTCGGTAGGAGTTCACTACATTGTTCATTAGGTGGGCCTGTAGCGCTGAAGCTTGGTTTACAGAGTCTGTTTGCTGTTTCCATGATGCTTTCCATCACTGATGTGTTAAATAGTAATACAGGACAATGAAAGACGTATACAGAGAGAGAAAGTTGTTATTCTGTATCTATCTCTGCCAATCTTGTTGCTGTTTTAGGGCAATGTTGCATCAGTACTTTGCATGAATTCTGCAGCTGTTTTTACTTTTATGTTAGCTCTAAGTTTTAGATAAGATTGTAACTTATTTGAAAGCAAAGAATAAGAAAAGTGTTAACTACCATGTATGTGATTTGTACCTGGCCACAACTTTCCAACTCCTTTGGCCAAGAGCAAAAACTCTGTGTGGGAATTTCCTGGATTTTTACTACCTATTCTTCACCATTTCCTGTGTTGGCTGCTTTCCTTTGTCACTTCTTTTTAAAAGTATAGAAAATAAGGAGAAAGTGCTATAGGTGCCTCATAAAACTGTCCCCATGATGCATGGTAGTCCACTGACACACACTATCCTCTTGGCCTGAACAGAAAAATATTAATGCTGTGGCTGAATTTGTTGCATAATCACAGGAAAAACAGAAATGGAATTCATTTTTCAGGGAATAAGGAAACAGGCTTTAACAATAAGAGAGTAAAAAGCAGAAAGCATGTCCTGGAAATGTGAGACATGGAAAGTAGGTCAGACCTTAAATCACTTTACCAGTGCAGAGTGGTTTTGTTGATAAATGGATTTATGTCTGGCCAGTGATGGTAAAATACAAACTGTCTGTATAGTTGGAAAATCAGAGGGTGACTCATCATTAGATTTCAGAGGGACAAATTGATTCACTCGGTTATTTTACCCATCTGCTGGACACAAAAGAGCAAAATTGTCCAAATCACTGTCATTCAGAGGGGGGGCTCTTAAGGCTGAAGACAGCTGAACCCAATGAAGAAAAAAAGTAGACTTATTAAGTGGGAAAACTGGTTTGCAGCATGTTTAGGAGTTCTGAGAGCCCATAGTTAGGCCCATAAGTTTTTGGACACTGAAATGTGCTTTGTAGTTTTGCCTCTGTACACCACTGCAGTGGATTTGATCTTAAACAATCAATATGTGATTGAACTGCAGATTTTTAGCTTCAGTTCAAGGGGTTTGGTAAAAGAATTGCATCATCTGTTTAGGAATTACAGCAATTTTTATATAGTCCCCTTCTGCCTACTGATCAAAAATGGACTATTAAGGAGTTTCTTGGTGAGGTAAGGTCTGTCCCTTTATTTTTCTGCAAACCAAAACCTGTCAGAGAGATAACAAGGACTTTAAGAGTGGGCAAGTCACCCATCCATCCATCCATCCATCCATCCATCCATCCATCCATCCATCCATCCATCCATCCATCCATCCATCTTCATCCGCTTTATCTGGGGCCGGGTCGCGGGGGCAGCAGCCTAAGCAGAGAAGCCCAGACCTCCCTCTCCCCAGCCACCTCCTCTAGCTTATCCGGGGGAACACCAAGGCGTTCCCAGGCCTGCCGAGAGATATAATCTCTCCAGCGTGTCCTGGGTCTGCCCCGGGGCCTCCTCCCGGTGGAGTGGGCAAGTCAACAAGAAGAAATAAACTGGCCAGCAAAATAACACCAAAGGGCCTGAAAGCCTGGTTGACCTCATATCTTTATTTAAGAAAAACACATCTTCACAACATCTAACAACGCTAAGAACACACTCAAAGAAGTAGGTTTTATCATTGTTGGGTGTTCATAGCAGGCTGCAAACTACTGGATACACTCAAGAACAGGAAGGTCAGAAAACACCTAATAGAGCCAGCAAAGATCTGGGGAAAAGTCTTAGGACAGAAGAAATTTCTTACCAAGATTAACTTTTCTTTAGCATTTCATGATCCAAAGCTCCCCTACCGCCCAGAATATCTGCCAAACATGGTGGAGGCAACATGGCATGGTGATGTATGGATGTATGAAACAGGGCTACTAGAGTTTATTGATGACGTGACTGCTTATAGAGGCAGAATGGTTACGGTTAGGATGAACTGTGAAGTGTACATGGCTGTGCTCTTTGATACAACCAAATTTTGCAAAACTCATTGCACAGCACTTCATAGTACAAACAGATAATGACCTGACACATCCTGTAAAAGCACCCCAAGAAATGGGATGTTCTTCAATGGCCTAAGCAGTCCACTGACATCAGCCCAACATAGCAGTGTTTCTGTTACTGAAGACAAAACTGAAGGCAGAAAGATCCACAAATAATCAGCAGCTAAAGATGGCTCCAGTAAAAGCTTGGTGGAGCATCTTTAAGAGGAAATGCAGCCTCTGGTTAGGTCTGTGGTTTCTGCAAAGACTTCTCAACCAAGTATTTAAAACATCTCTTGTATTTCAGATTATTCAGCTTGTCCAGTTACTCTCGAGCCTGTGAAAAGTAAAATAAAAAGGCTGTAATTACAGACTAGTTACTGAAATAGTTTTGTTGAACCCCTAAAGTCAAAGCCCAAAATCTGCACTTCATCTTGACTATTGTACAGAAAACAAATGACCAAAAATACTTCACTGTCCCAAAATATCTCATTGTCAAAACTGTATTAATGTCTAAAAGTTGTTAAGAGTGTTGGTGATAATGTAAACATGCTGACATGTTCCCACCTCATCATCTATAGACTATGAGTTTCATCTTATTAGAAGACTACCCTTCAGTCAACTTCGGTAGCACCAAACACAAAGTACAGCTGCTGCTGATGTGATGTCACTTCAGGATATTTGTAGGAGATGAAGCAAAATTGCACTCCATGTAGAAGAAATCAGGTCATTAGGGTTCATACTCCAGTACTACTCCAGACCATGAAGTAAGTTTTGTTCCAGGCTGGCATTGAGGCTGGACTTGCTCTGCAAAGATGCCTGTGAAGCATGATGAGATTCAGTGCGCTGGTGTGGCACTCAGTGTTGACAATATGGTGGAGACGGCAGTGAAGGGGAAAAACCACAACACTGAGTAATGAAAGAAAAGTAACCGTGTCAATCTCTTCTTTGTTTTTAGCTGTTCAACAGGAACCTGTATGGTGTCACTGCATCAGTTTTACAGCTGTTCTTTCAAACCAAACGCCTTATGAGCAACAGTGTTTAACTTGTTTTATTTATTTTGGATTATTAAATGACTCTACATAGCCTCCTTTGACAAACAGCCTTTATATTGTTTTAATTCTTTGAAATATGTCCTGTAACAAGAAAAAGCAGTAAAAGCACCTTGTAGTCTAAAACCTTGTTGATAAGACCAAAAGCATACTCTATACTGTAACTGTAGCCACTTTACCATTATTAAAGCTCAATCTGTTGAAGCTTTCATGTTATGAGTGCAACTAAAACATGCCCTGACAACCTGCACTGACTACTTTAAAGGCAGAACAGTGGTTAAAGCTCCAAATGCGCAAGACTGGAGCTACTTTGGGTCTAATTTACTAGAAAGCAGCTAATGGATTTTTACTTACCGTAATTATAACTTATAAGGTGCAGAAATGTGATGCTCTTATTTGAGGACAGTGGCTCGCAAGAGGTTTATTATTTCTTTCTAAATGTTAGTAAATGTAAAAGCTCATTGACACCATTCTCTTACAGGTGTGCCACTCTGAGCTGCATCTTACTACGTGCTTTCAGCCGGTGAATGGACGCATCCAGGTCCAGGTCCTTGCTGCTCAAAACCTCCCAGTGTCCTCCTCACCGCTCACTCAAGGTACCTGTAAAATACACATCTGTATTTTTCAATATTTAACCCCTAAAATAAGTAGCTTTGTAGCTTTAATGGTAACTTGTCTTCTCTTGCACCTGTCCTCTGAAGCTTTTTTTGTCAAAGTGGAGATGACCCAGTTAGAGGAGGTGACCAAGAAGAAGACCCGAGTGCTCAAGGCCTCTGGAGGTCAGTGTCAGTGGGCTGAGACGTTTCACTTCCATCTGGCCACCTTAGACCACGCCTACTCACTCTCAGTGAAACTCTACAGTCGCAGCTCAGTCAGGAGGAAACAATATCTCGGACAGGTGAGTTTGTCAAGCACCAAAGATTTTACTTTTAGTTATGAGTCCCTTGGTGTATTTTATTAGCCTATTCTTTCATTACTTCTAATATAATGAATATAATTTCATCTATTTTAGCCTGAAAATCAAAATGTTTTTAAGTTATTTGCAACAAACTGAGGAGTTGCCTCCTCTGCGTCTGTGGCAGATTCAGCTGGGACTCAATAGCCCTATTCCAGAGGCTGTGGAGCAGTGGAAGGACACAATGGCTCATCCAGAGAAAGTGGTGGCAGCGTGGCACAGGCTGAGTTCTTCCTAAACCTCTTCTCTCAGCTACTGACATAGTACTCTCGTGCTGCACATCTCGCTGTGCCTGCTTACTTTTCCAGTTGGCCAGCCACAGTCCTGTACGTTGACATAGTCAACTCTGATTGACCAGACTGTAAACTGCTGAACGTGCTCTCTGGGAAATTTCCACAGAGACAGTGCATGTATTCAGTGATCAGTTATAAATAAGGGTTTCGAACAAATGTAGATGGTCGAAAGGTTATTTTTTGTGTGTGTGTTTACTGTAGACTAAATGAAGGATATTTCTTAAAAACAGTAGAGCATTTCCTAAATTAACAATTCAATTGCTTAGCATTTAGCTGTACTGTACATAAGCTGTTTTCTGCAAGTTGCATGACGTGGAAATATCATGCTTTATGAGTCTGCTTCATTTTGCAAAGAAAGTTTACAAGCAGGAGAAAGGTGATAGGAAAACCATATTTACTTTAGTGGTTTCAGACTGTAAAGAAGATTCATCTAATAGTGTAAGGTTGGTGGTATTCTGTATTTTTAAAACCATAGAAAGTCTGCTATTCAGTCACTTATTAACTAAAGATCTTTTAAAATTCTTTTAAAAAAGCCAGAAATATTTAGTGTCATTTATATTTTTTAAAGCAAGCTGGCTAGCATGACGACAGCAGAATGAAATTTCATAGTTTTAGGCATAAAATGAAATATAAAATAATTATAAAACCTACAAAAATAGTATTTTTCTTCTGGTCCTGTGCAAAACTTTTGAGCCACTCATCATGTCTTTATATTTTGCTTCCATGGACTTACTTGTAATTTTAATAGGCTTTCAGACAGCCTTTCAAAGCTTTTCTTTGGACACTGGCTGCTTTTTATTCATTTTTAGTCAAGTTCTTGTACCTGACCAGTTTCAGAGGAGCTTTTATTTTATTTTATTAGGCTCTAACAATGACATATGAATAAATCAGGCACCTAACTTGAGGAATGAACAAGTGTTTTGTAGAAAAAACAATTTTAAGTTGTATCTCTCGGCACTTTACTAAATATTTTTGGAGAAACAAAATGTACTTCCTTTAAAATTCCCTAAATGTGAGCTAGAAGGTTTTCCCTTACCATAATTGAACTTCACAGGGTGTCATGTTACTGGAGAAAACAGCGGCTTCTGTGTCAAACATTAGCTCTGTGCTTCTGATTTTTTTTTATATATTGAATGTAAATAAAAAGTGTTGAATGTAAAAGTTTAGTGTAATAAAAAGTTCATATTGTTTGAAAATGTGAAGTGTGTTGATTGAAAAAACAGGTTTAAATACAAGTGGCACATATTAAAAAAAAAACAGACTGGATTACAGCATGTACTGCACATTACACTCGTTACACACACTCTGCAGTACTTATGAGACAAGTCAACAACCATAAACCACTGTGCTACTATTGTCACTTTTTATTGAAGAAGCCTATGATTGAGAGATTGTCAAAGCAAACAGTAAGATAGTTATCCACAGTGTCCTCCCGGACAGGGACATCCTGTTTTTTTCCCCCGATTTCACTGTTATTGGAAAGTAATTTAATGCCACTGCTGTATATGGCCAATTTTATCCTTATCTCTAGAGTGACTACAGAAAGGAACAATTGTCGTTGGTGGAAAAAGGACAACAATTTCCTGTGGCACTGAAATTTTACTCCAAGCAAATGTGCCCAAAAAGAAAGAAAAATAAACAAGTATATGAATTTCTTTGAATTATTTAATAGCAAGAAATGCTAATTTGCATATGAAATAATCAGTAGCATTTTTGGCATGTGAATTGGTGCCATTTATCATCCCAAAGGGAACTCCTTTCTCTGTTTCAGAAAGCATGAGCTTGACCAGCGATGTGTTCTGTGTAACCAGCTGTGGTCACGCAAACACACACCCACCGAACAAAGAGTCTGTGAACCAAAAAAACAGTGAGTGTTTGTGCTTAAGTGTGTGTGACCAGGACAACCGGGCGCATCACGTGGGCTGACCTGCGTCAGAGCGTCTCACATCCTGGCGTGCCAAAACACATTGTCATTTTATGGAAAATAATGTTTGATTTATGGTTAATGTTACACAGAAGGAAATTCAGACGGACATTTCTTATCTGTTAAAAGGCTTAACGCTCGGCTTTTATCTTAGATAAGTATGTTTGAGTCTGACTTAAGTAAGGTGCTTGTGTCTGAAAAAGCAGGATTTGCTGTTATTGTGTCTTCTGTGTGCTTAACAGATTCCTTTGGCTGCTTGCCATCCCGAGTCCACAGCACATTCCCATTTTCTCATGAATGCATGCTTAACTGTGCAGGTTTTCTCACCTGGGAGACAGCAGAGAGGTTATAGGCGTATAGAATTAAAGAGCAGAGCCTCTCTAAAATCCTGGTGCTTTTCATGAAGCTTTCCAGCAGCTGTAGCCAATCGGTGTCTGCTAGACTTCACTAACTGGGAGTCATTAAACTAAAGCTCTCCATTGTGTTTGTGCTCTTTAGATCATGTTAATTGAATTATGAGAATATGAGAATTTCATTCGATGTACAGGCTGTCCAAGAAATTTGTGCTCTAATTCTGGTCTTTTGTTAGTCTTTAAATTATCACTGAATAGCAGGTTATGTATAAGAGAGTGATCCTCCCCCAAAAAGCCTGAAAAGGCAGTAAAAGTTGTACCAGTTGGTCCAGAAGGTGACATATAGGGGTCCAGGGGCATGCCCTACCTGGATATTTAGTGGAATCTGGAGGAACTTTGCTGTCTAAATTTTTAGGTTTATTTCCCAAAAATATTTGAATTTGAATTTATTTATTTAAAAGGGACAGTGCGGTTTAACATAGTCCAAGTACGAAACATGAAACTGATGTAACGCACATAAGTTTATAGCTATTGCTAATTTTCAACAATTGTCCCTTGTTGGGTTTACAATCAAAATAGGTACATTTTACAATAAAACATACATTTTCATAAAGCCAAATAACATCATAAATACAATTACAGTTAATAGACAATAATTTCAAATAAAATTAAAATCATTAGTTAAAATGACTACATCTCTGATTTCCCTTTAACCTTCAATGCAAAGGATCTGATGTCTGTAATCAATATGATTTCGGTTGGAAGTGTGTTCCACAGATGGCAGGCCTTTATGGAAAAAGCTGACTGACCGAATGTAGATCTGTGATATAATATCTTGCAAGATATTATATATTATATATGTATATTATATATACAATTAAAGAGTTAACAGTCGACTGAATTTTTACAACACAATCTTAACATTCAGTCCTATTTGAAAATCAAGTCTCTGAGCTCTCTAGTTTTTCTCTTGCTGGTGCAGTTTTAACCTTGTTGGGCAGCTTTTTTTGTTTACTGCCATCAGTAAAAATGATTTATTTGCTAGACATAAGCTCAGATACACACAATATAATAAATGAAATCCACCTTGGTGTCAGCTGTTTGATGCATTTCTTACTGAAAGCATTTTTCAGGTGCCTTCATCTTCTGCTGGAGCAATCGATCACATCCGTGCACCACCTGCACCATGCTGGGAAGTCTGGCTTTTGATTAAAGTCGCTCATTGGATTTACACTTCTGTGTTAATATTGCCATGGTTGTCACGGTACTGGGTCACAGACCCAGTGCTTTGTGTTTATTGGTGAACTGATAGTTCTGATTATTATTATGATTTTCTGCTTAGCTTACATCTTTAGTCCTTGGATTGTGGTTTCTGTTTTGTATCATCTCTGTGCTTCAGCTTCCTATGTTTCCGCGTCTTAGTGTCAAGTCTGCATCTTGGTGCTTTGTCTCAGTTTCCTGTTTTACTTTGGTAGTCTTTGTCCCATGTTTATAATTTCAGTTCTGCTCCTCGTGTCTCGTCATGAGTGCATTATCCCAGCTGTTTCCCTCCTGTCTCCCATTCACTGATTACGCCAGTATGTATTTAAGCCCTGTGTTTTTCCCTGCCTGTTGTTGCGTCCTCTGCGTTAGTTGTGTGTTCCTCAGTTGTCATGTTTTGTCAGGTTATGTCATGCCACGTAATGAACTCCCAGTTTAGATCATCCTTCCTAGTTTGAATTTTGGTTTTGTTTCTAGTGCCTATGTATTGTGTTTCTAGGTTTGTTTTCTGCCAGTGAATAAAAACTGCCACCTTTAAGTTAAATATTTCGTCTCTGAGTCCTGCACCTGAGTCCAACCATGGCCTACCACACAGCTCACCATGACAATAGGTATGTTTTAACCGCAAATGCTCTGAAAACCTACAAGGTAATCTATGCAGTAACCTCACGTGCACTTCCATGGGAATGCAACTCCACATTGCATTGATGCAGCCCTCAGCTTCCCCACTTGCATTTACAGTTTTTTAATTTTACTTTTCTCAGTGAGAGATTAATAATTCTTGCCTGATTATAAAGATTAACAGATGTCAGCAAATTCCTGGAAGGAGATTTTGTTTGTACAAATAACACATTCTGGAGTAAACCTGACAGAAAGGCAGACATGAAATGTAAAACTGAGATCAGCGGTGAAACATGACATGCTATTGGGATGCAAACTATAATGTGATATTTAGAATCCCCATATCATTTCCTAAATGCTTCCAATACAAACAAAGGGAGTAGAATTTTAAGAACTGCTTTAAAGATAAGGCATTTTTTTTGAAAGAAGTCTTACAAAGATACTGGTGGCTGATGAATTTTCCCTAAGCTTTCTTGTACATGCACCTGTCGCTGAGATTTGAATTAATTTGAAAATCTCGCCTTGTTCTCCAGTTATCGCATTCACAAAATTAGGTGTCCACACGGCGCGCCCGCCCTGCAAGGTAAAAAATCTCCCATCAGTGTTTTAAGGCTGTGGGGTAAAAACCTATTTAACATTTTAATCACTTTGAACTTCATATCAATCTTTTGGCCTTGAAGGAGAGGTCAGAGGTCAATTGTGACATATTTTAGATTTAGATTTATACTTTTATACTTTAGTTTTAAAACTTTTACTAATTTTCAATAGGGCTGTTCGATATAACGATATATATCAGATGACGATATAAAAACGTCTATCGTTTCATTTTACGCTATCGTTTGTTTCGCGGTGTCACAAAATAAACTGTTTACGGCAATATTTTCTCATCGTTTTGATGGTCACTGTAGTGGTTATATTAATTTATTAAAGTTCTCTCTTTCTCTTATATTTAATATAACTACACTACAGACGGACAAGCGGCTGTTTTTATGCGTTGTCGTTAGCAACAACAACGGTAAAACCATCGCATGTCCGCTTGTTTATTTTCCACATAAACCTTTCACAATAAAGCTCAAGATCCTGTTGACTTTTCAAAATAAACGGAATCACGTGAAAAAGTATGCAGAGCATTTACAGATGAGAAGCAAAAAGGAGGTGTGGTGCTAAAAAAGAAACCTTAGACTCAAACGTTAGAACAGGCTTTCCCCCGCAGCACGCTGTGTAATAAATACTCACAAAGGAAACAGCAGCCGATACAACATATGTCTAAAAATGTGTAGTTTCATGCATCGGTTAAAACACTCAACTCCATGTACACGACGCCCAGCTGGAAACAGTTCAGCAACCTGAGATTCACAGAATTTACAGAAAATGTTAAATTTTTGTGATTTATATCGTTATCGGCTGATAGATGGTTTATATTGGGATATGAGATTTTGGTCATATCGCACAGCCCTAATTTTCAAGCAATAAATTATTACGTTGGCCTTTAAGACCTCAATGGATGTAAATCTAATTTTAATGGATTGTTAACATGACTCCACACCCCTGCAAAGTCTTTATCAGAATTCATCCAAAACTTTTTGAGCTACTATGTTTACAGACAGAATGCGCATAACAAAGAGAGTCGACACAGTAGGGGAAGAAGTCCCAGCATTCTTTTTCTTTTGTTGCTGGCAACGCATATAAAACACAAAGACTCCACGTTTATGGACACCACAGCAGTGTGTATCTCAATATGCATTATGAAATTATTTTGGGATACCTAAGACAAGTAGAAGTGTAAAGAAGTTCTGGACATCAGTATAATACTGTACATTTTAAATTAATGCAGGTGTTGAATATGCACATTGTACACAAAACAGTAAAAAAGCACATTAAAAACAGTTGACTGTTACACACCTCATTTCTTCTTTAAATCCACACCATCTTTGACTGTCAGTGCCTCTACCTTTAATGCTAACTAACATGCAGCATTCGTACTCCTGGGTTGTATTCGTGACACAGATCAACGTACACTGATCAAATGTTATCTTTTTTAAATAAAGAATAAAATATTTTAAATAGAATATACTAAATATATTAGGAAATGTGTTGTTTTAATGAAGTGCAACAGTGCAGTTTCTACACTACGTGGATTTTCATGTGTGTTTTAAAACTGTACTGATGTCTGTAACTTTTACCACAAAATTCGCAGTCAAATGGTTTTTCTCCAGTGTGGACTCTCATGTGTATCTTTAGATTTCCCTCCCGGTTGAACGTGTTACCACAAACGCTGCAAACAAACCGTTTCTCTCCTGAGTGAACTGACATGTGCCTCCTCAGATTACATCGATATCTGAACGGTTTACCACAGTGATCACAGACAAATGGTTTCTCCTCTGTGTGAATTCTCATGTGTCTCTTAAGATCAGTCTTGTGGTAAAACCTCTGTCCACAGTCTTCACAACTAAAGGGCTTCTCCCCTGTGTGTACTCTTATGTGTAGTTTAAGGTTTGCCTTATGGTTAAATCTTTGTCCACATTCATCACAGCCAAATGGTTTCTCCCCCGTGTGGACTCTCATGTGTCTGGTAAGATTTGTCTTTCGGCTAAACCTTTGTCCACAATCATCACACCCGAATGGTTTTTCATCTGCGTGAACTTTTGTGTGCATCTTCAGATTTCCTTGATATCTAAATCTTTTACCACACTCAGTACAACCAAATGGTCTCTCTCCCGTGTGGACTCTCATGTGTATTCTAAGCTCTTTCTTTTGGTTAAATCGTTTACCACAATCGTCACATCCAAATCGTTTCACCTGAGAATCAACACTTTGCTCCACTCTACAAATTTTCTTATTATCCAAACAGTTGGAAGACCTTTTTTCTGAATGACATGTCACGTGTTTCTGAAGAGACTGCTTGCAGACAAACTGTTCTCCACTCTCAGAGCAGCTTAGAAACTTTTTTGCAGCGTTACATCTCACATCATTTTTTACACCTGACTCAGTTAATGTGCTGTCATTCAGCCAGCTGTTGCTTTCATCAGCTTCAGGTCCACAATCTGACAAAGGTTCCTGCCAATCATCGTCCTCACTGACTTCAGTCTTTTCAAACTCTGAGGCCTCTCCATCAGTACGTGATTGTAAAGGAGTATCTGGATGGGGGTGTCTGACTGGATCTGGTGAAGAATAGTTTCCTATTTTTATCTGTTCAGCTGAGCTGCTAGCTGGAGGCTCGGTCTCTCTGCTGTTTTCAGTTTGGCTTTGATGAAGCGTTGAGAACTGAGGTTTCTCATCATCATCTTCACTCTTCACATGAACAGCAGTGAATGGGAACCCAGAGATATAGTCCTCCAGCCCACTGAGCTGTTCTCCCTCTTGACTTTTCCAGAATTCCTCCTGTTCCTCCTTTATGTGAAGAAACTCTGAGTCATGATGGTCCAGACTGAGACTGCATTCATGGAGAACCTCTTCTTTTATCACCAAAAGCTGCTGGACATCTGCTGGAAACACTGAAACACACACACTTATAATGAACAATGGCAGCTAGCTCAATGTTAAACAGTTTTTTTTCATTAGTCCCATATCTCTAAAGTTAGAAACATCCTGTTTTAGAGTGATGCTGAAAACCTAGTTCATGTATGTATTGTGACTGTAATTTATTATTATCAGGATGTCCTAAAAACTGCATGAAAAGTCTGCATTTGATCCACAATGCTGCAGTGAGAGTACTGACATGGACTAGAAAGAGAGAGCTTATTTCTCCTATACTGGCTTCTCTTTATTGGCTCCCTGTTAAATTCAGAATCAAATTTAAAATCCTGCTTCTCACATACAAGGTCTTAAATAATCAGGCCCATCTTACCTTAATGACCTCATATACCGTATCATCCCAATAGAGCTCTTTGCTCTCAGACGGCAGCAGTGTTGCCAACTTAGCGATTTTGTCGCTATATTTAGCGAGTTTTCAGACCCCCTTAGCGACTTTTTTTTCTAAAAAGCGACTAGCGACAAATCTGGCGACTTTTTCTGGTATTATTGGAGACTTATTTATGACGACTTTTTGACGTGAAAACGCGTATCACTCTCACTCTCAACAAGCAGCAGTGCTGCCTTGGGCACCTCACCCGTGCCAAAGTGCTCACAGGCAGAGGATAGTCCTCCCCAGCTGCTATCAGAGCAGGAGACGTTCACACCTGTGCGTCCGAACAGCAAATGAATCGCGCATGAGCGAAGCCGCTGCTCCCGCACTGACTGTAACGCAGTCAGTTCTTCTTTTACTGTTATGCTGTTTTGTGGATCACAAGGTTAAAAACTACTTATAAACACACACTCTCACACACAAAGTAACTCCACCAGAGTGCCAATTTCAGGTCACTTTTGCCGGTCCAGGCCCGGATAAAGGAGCAGGGTTGGAATTGTGACATTAAAAAAACAACAATTGCTAAAAGAAATTTAATTTGTAGTTCTAAATAAATTCTAACTGCATTTAGGACGTTTGTTACTCACTTTATGTCTCTTCTACGATGTTATTTCTCTCTCCAACAGCGTAGGTTACAATGACATTAGCATGACCAATTATGCAAATTAGGCGATGACGTCATTTGGCGACTTCTAGCGACTTTTAGGACAGCCGATAGCGATTTTCCTTACTGAGGAGTTGGCAACGCTGGACGGCAGGTTTACTTGTAGATCCCAGGGTTTTTAAAAGCAGAATGAGAAGCAGAGCCTTCAGCTTTCAGGCCCCTCTTCTGTCAAACCAGCTCCCAGTTTTAATAATAAACTACAAGAGATCAAAACTTGCTGCAGCGCTTTCTTAGCTGCCTCCATCAGCTCTCTCCTCCTTTTGAAAGCAGCATTTCTCATGTAGCTGGTTAAATATTAGGGGGGAAGCTAGCGCAGATTGCCACAGCATAATATGACAGTAATGTCTGATATGTGCACACGTGACAAGCTGCGCACTGTTTGGATTCACATATGGAGACTTTCATTCACAGAAAATCCGCTGGCTTCACAGTTCGGTGTAAAGTTTTTGATCAAAACACTCACCCGCAGCCATTAGACAGCTTCAACTCTACCTCTGGATATGCCGCCAGTACCGGAAATACGCCACGTCCTTCCCCTGTGCAATAATTCAACAACTTCCGGTCTCTGTTTTGTCAAAATAAAAGTCATAGATACACGCACTGCTGGATCATGAGCGGCAAAACTGTCTTTATTGAGATCAAAATAAAATTCAATGGAATTTTTTCTTTAGAGAAACATTCACGTTAATTTATCTGGATTTTAACAATCAATAGAGCAGTGGGTATTAGCCTAACTTTATATTGTGGTTTCTTACATCACAAACTGTCCCAGAATTGAATCCACAGCGATGTTTATGCAAAACGTTAGACAGTCTGAAATGTCCTGGTCTAAAAATGTATTATATTGATATTTGTGCAGTTTCAGAATGTATGAGTGAGAGAGACTAGAAGTGTCTGTCTGAACAAATCATAGGATTTTATCAGTGGATTTTAATGCAATTGTAATGCTAGACGCCAAGAATTAATTCTAGACGGTGCTCCACATCTGTCTGGTAAAAACTTGTGGTCTGAAAATTTGAAGCAGCTACTTTTGACTGTTCTCTTATTGCCAAAGTGGGTAGCTCCACATGTTTGATTTGGGACATCTTTTACACCAGATGCCTTATCTGACTGGTAAAGAAAAACATGAACACATTTCACCAGCCTTGGCATCGTTACACCTGTGCAGTTTAGAGTTCACTATAAAATTCCTTAGTTCACTTGTAAATGTTTGCATCGGTCATACACAAGTATCAGTATCTATCAGACTGGGGTATAAAGACGTAACTCTGAAACTCTGGCACAATCTCCCCTTCCAGGTCAGACTGCCTGCTTCAATAACAGCTTACAAACCTCAACTGAAGACTCACCATTTCTCTTTAGCATGTCCTCCTAATGCTATGTAAATCGGTCTTTTAAATTGTTTTACCGATTGTTGTGCTGCACTTCGGTTGATGTCTGTTGTGATATGAGTGATATAAATAAACTTGGCTTGACTTTAAATTTTAGATTGATTAACAAATCAAAAACAAAAACCTTGTCACTATTGTACATAATAAAAATGGTAACACCTAACAAATAACCAACACAAAAACCACTGTTTAATGTAACATCACCATTAAATTTCACTGTTCATACCTCATGGTGCTGTTATAATCCAGGTTTAAACATTATTTACAGCACAGTAAAAGAACATGAATTAAAAAAAGCCAAAGTAGTTATCTCTGTGCAAATTAGTGATGATTAATTCAAGTAAAATATCTCATAAACGTACTAAATAAAAGTCAAAGTGGAATATACTCTATATACATATTTTTAATGTACCAAAAACTAGAGCATAATGTCAATAACCCAGCAGCTCAGTTTTCTCACAATTCAGATTATTGCCTGTAAAGTGACAAACGTAACCTTGATCTTCACAATCAGAATCAGAATACTTTAATAATCCCTAAGGAAATTATGCTATCTTGAGACGCTTTATATTGTAAGGTAAAGCCCAAAGACCATTATGTGTAAATTTGAACATTTCTATAGGAGGACTAATGAGTAACGAAAAGTTCACAGGTCCTTTGGCTGAATGAGCTAAATATACTATTGGAAATGAGTAGAAATCAATCAATAAAAAGAATATTCTACCACAAATACACAATATGCTTATCATAAAGAAGTTTTGTACTCATACTGAATTTTACACAATTTTTACACCAGGTGTCCTGCATGACGCAACCCTCTTTGGGATTTGCGTCTCCTCCCAGGCTTGACTCAGACTTTTCAGGTGTTAGGCAAATCTTTAATCACTACACAATAGTGCCACTGTACTTTTTGGACTGTGCAGTATCATGTAGTATGTTTATATACTACACAAAAATATCATTTTAACAGTTTTAAAAATACCAGAGGCTATCTTTCCATTCTTCAGTGGTTTAAAGTAGTTGCAATGTGACGTCATCTGAATTTTCCATCATGTTACAAAATACATGTGAAGGCTGATAACTGGTGTTAAGATTTCCGATCCTTGTTCATTTGGAAATCTGGGTTTTGGTGATCTTGTGTGATAAAGCAAATAAGTAAGTTAAGAAATGAGCAAATGAAAACTATTCTAAGCAGTGAACATTCAGCTGAGACTCTGAAATTATTGACACCAGCAATTATATTAATGATGCCTGTATTAGTGTTAAAGTTTGTCACGTCTGACTGACAGACTGCTATCACTTACCAGAATGATGAAGACAATATATATTATGAAAAGGATCTCTTATAGTGGTAACCGTGTGTTTGATATGTGGCACAAGTCTGACTGAACTCTCAAGGACAGTTTGTTGCTGCGTAAAGACGAGAATTGGACCAGTAGATCAGTAAAATTAATGAGTAAGAAAAGCACAGTTATGTCAAGGAAAAACAATCAAACAAACACATTTTTGAATTTTGGCAACAAAATGACAAACATTTTCCACCTTTGAAAATTGGAAGTTGTGGCTAGCTAGGGCTGCTCAATTAATCGAATTTTAATCACGATTACGATCTGGGCTTTCAACGATCATTAAAAATAACTGAGCCGATTATTAGCCCCTCCCTCGTGCTTTACTCGCGCTGCTCCGTGTGGCAAATCGAGCGCACCTCTCTGCATTTCGAACACGTGTCACAACAATTAAGAGCAGCGGTCCCCAACCTTTTTTGCGCCACGGACCGGTTTATGCCCGACAATATTTTCATGGACCGGTGTTGTGCCAAAAAGTGATTGTCTGCCAAAAACTGATTTCCGGTATTTGCCAAAAACTGATTGCTCGTATTTAAACTGCTAAAAGTAACTTGTTGGGCTATAACATGTGAAACACGTGTCAAATGCATCCCTCATGGATGACATAAAGTCATCTTGAGCCACAAGCAACATTCGTGTAACAAGGTAGAAGCCACAATCAGTTTTTGGCAGTGACTTTTATATAACCTTTACTTATGCAGTTACAAAAATCTCATTAACATTAAAAATGTCTTCTGTAAGAGTAAGTTGGCCAAGAGGACAGCAGAAATGGCAGCAAATATTACAATAGTTCTGTAAAAATATTTTAAGTGGGGATAAAGGACCAGATTGGTTATAATGTAAGTACAATAACACAGAGTTATAAAGATACTTGAAAAACAGATAATTTTTTAATTCTATATATAACCCCTTCGTAAACCCTGTTCACCGAAGTCTATTTACCAACATACGTAAAGATATTACATGTAAAAAAAATAAACAGAAACATTGGAAATCAGTTTTTGGCAGGCAATCACTTGGCACAACACTCGGCCTTTAAGGTGTCGCGGATAAATACAACAAAATAAAACTAGTACCGGTACCGAAAAAAAGAAGATTTATTCATAACACACGTGAAAAGACCAAGGAAAACCGAGTAAACGATAAAAACGATAACAAAATAACGCTGAAAACCGATAAAAACCCTGAAAACTATACATTTCACACCTGAGCCTCAACTCTCGCGGCCCGGTACCAAACGACTCACGGACCGGTACCGGTCCGAGGCCTGGGGGTTGGGGACCACTGATTAAGAGGACCCGAGGGAAGCTCGGAAAGCTAAGCAGAAGTTATTTGGAGAGGAGAGTGACTGCCGTTGGTTGAAAAGAGAGGTAAAAAAAAAAACTTCAGTGGTGTGGAAACATTATGGGTTCGCGGAGTCAGACGTGGATCAAGTAGACATAGTGTGTAAACTTTGCTACAGTGTCGTAGCTGCACCACAGAGCAACGCTGCAAAGTTCACTAAACATAGATGTTTACATTTTTCATTTATTTTTTATATTGCAAACATTTGCACTGTTATCAGTATTTGCACACTATTTTATATTATTTTTTGACAATCTTTAAAGTCATTATTCAATACATTGTTATTGTTAAATAAATATCGTCAAATAATCGAGATCTCAATTTCAGTGAAAATAATCGTGATTATCATTTTTGCCATAATCGAGCAGCCCTATGGCTAGCTTTGTCAAAAATAAAAACAGCACTGATAAGAACACTGTTTTGCACATCATTGTGTTTGCAGAGATAATTTTGATGGGCATCGCTACTCCCAGTCACGGGAAAAAATCCCGTTGAGACTCTCAATACTTATTTATTCCTTGTGGAGTTTGGTGTGTATCTTTAGATTACACTGGTGTCTAAATCTTTTGCCACAAAATCCACAGTTATAAGGTTTCTCCCCTGTGTGAACTCTAATGTGCGTCTCAAGATGAATCTTTTGATTAAATCTTTTGCCACAGAAATCGCAACCAAATGGTTTCTCTCCTGTGTGGACTCTCATGTGTATCTTTAGATTCCCCTCTTGGTTAAATATGTTACCACAAACACCACAAACAAACTGTTTTTCTCCTTTGTGGAGTGCCATGTGTGTCTTCAGATTACACTGGTAACTAAACGTTTTACCACAATCGCCACAGGTATACGGTTTCTCTTCTGTGTGAACTCTCATGTGTCTCCTAAGTTCGATCTTTTGGTTAAATCTTTGCCCACAATTGTCGCAACTAAACGGTTTCTCTCCTGTGTGCACTCTTATGTGCATGTTAAGATTTCTTCGATAGTTAAATCTTTGTCCACAAATGTCACAGCTAAATGGTTTCTCCCCCGTGTGGACTCTTATGTGTCTGGTAAGGTTTGTCTTTAGGCTAAATCTTTTACCGCATTTATCACAAGCATACGGTTTCTCTCCAGCATGGAGCCTCATGTGTACATTCAGACTTCCTTGATATCTAAATCTTTTACCACAATCTGCACAACAGAATGGTCTTTCTCCCGTGTGGACTCTCATGTGTACTCTAAGATCTTTCATTTGGTTAAATCGTTTACCACAATCATCACATCCAAATCGCTTCATCTGAGAATCGACACTTTGCTCCACTCTAGAACTTCTCTCATTCACCAAACAACTGGAAGACCTTTTTGCATTATTTACACCTGACTCAGGTGTTCTGTCGTCATTCAATTGGCTGTCGCTGTCGTCAGTTTCAGGTCCACAATCTGACAAAGGTTCCTGCCAGCCATCCTCACTGACTTCAGTCTCAGAAGATTCCGGTGCTTCGCCATCAGTATTTGTTTGTATATTGTTATTTGTACTTCGGTCCATTTTCCTCTGTTCAGAGGAGTTGCTCGCTTGAGTCTCAGTCTCTATCTTGTTTTTATTTTGGTTTTGATGAACCTTTAATGACTGAGGCTTCTCTTCTTCATCTTCACTCTTCACATGAACAACAGTAAATGGAAACCTCTTGATATCCTCCTCCAGCCCATTACAGTGAACTCGCTCTTGATTTTTCCACAGCTCTGAGTCAGGATGGTTCACACTGGGGCTCCATTCACATTCATGGGAAACCTCTTCTTTTATCACCAGTAGCTGCTGGACATCTACAGGGAAGACTGAAACACACACACTCATAATTAAGAGCAAAAACTCTATAATCACATAACTTATCACTGGTACTAATACTCCATGTTAGTGAGATCTGAGATGACTGTGGATAGACAGTGCTATTAAATATAATCTAAATTAATCTTAACTGTGACCACCTAATAGAAAATGACATTGCCATCCAATACCATCCAGCCAGCAGTGCTGCCCCTCAGCCTCTTAGCAGATGAACCTATGTTATAAGTTGGAAAATCATGGGTAGTTTTCAGAAAAGTTGACTTCTCATCTTGACCTTGAAGTTAGTGTAATCTTTCAGTTGATGTGCCGACGTTATGAATTTCAAAAACAATACATCACCTCTATGACGATTTATCACATGCACAAACCTGGGTGTCCACATCGTCCACCTATCAGGTGGGGTGTCGACAATACCCTATCAGGCTTTTACGGCTGAAGGGTACACAAATGCCCGTATATTCTCCCAGTTCAAAAAATCATTTCAATTCTGAGTGTCCGACTGAGTATTCAGTTTTCATTTGTGCCAGAAATACACAACTCAACACTAGCCATGCAGCTCCTCTTCTGATATGTACAGCTATTGGTATCATACACCTTTACAATACTCCAAATTTATTCTCACCCCACCATTTCCTATTGCTGAATATTACACCCACTACTGCTACCTACTACTAACCTATAACATAAAAATCAGCAGGATAGATTTCCTTTTACTGAACCGTTTCAGTTAACAGGGAATACTTATAAATGTATTTTTTTCTCTCTGTCAGGGTGAACCATTTGATTGATTAGCTAACATTTAACCATTACACAAAGAACGATCATCCACTGGCAAACATTTTAGACCAGGAAATACAAAATCAATCATTTGAAGTGGTCCTTTTCTCCATATTTTTAAATGCAGGTAACATTCACTGAGTATTTTCATTCCTCTGGGACAAGCTAATGATGGACGTTGACTTCTTTGCACAGCTGGATTTCTTGTTTTTAATACTTCAACTTTCTGCATTTTATGAAGTTTTTTGTGTACAATTTTTCTGTAATCTGTATGCTAATGATCCAATATTAGAGGAATTGCATATGCCATCACAATTGTAAAAATGTTGTGACACTGCATAAAATGTAAATAAAACAGATTTGCAAGTCTCATAAATCCACATTTTTTTAAATTCACAATAGAACACAGACAACCTGTCAAATGTCACAGCTAAATGTTTTGCGAGCTTAGATTATTTATCTGGTTAACAGTGGTTTAATGGTTGTACAGCAATAGTGCTAACGAGCATGACCGAGGGGGACCCTGAGCTGATGGACAGGTGCAGGTCAGACTTTGGGAAGACTTGTCTTTGATTCTAAAACGAGGTCACACATCAGCTTGTGCTGTTAGTTTTAAAGTATCAGTCTACTAAAATTCTGCAAATCAAATGCTAATGTTTTGAGGATACTTTTAGCTCATAGTCAGCTGTTTGCACAGATAATGTCTCTGTTGTTTGTTGCCTCTGCAATCAAAGACATGTATGCACTTTTATAACTGTGGCTACAGCTCTCTGAGTGTACATGCATGGCTGCAGTTATGCAGGCTGTGTGTGAGAGCAAGCACCTTTAATTTTTTTTTTTTTTAATGGAATAGTAAATTTACTTGAGCCAAATGCCCCTCAGTCAAAGTTGGTTGCTCTTGTTCCTATGCTCTCGTGCCCATGACCCTGTCCCAACTTGCCATCAAATTCAAAATGATCTCATTTCTTTTCTTAAAACGGTTAATTTTTCCAGTTTATAGATGTGGTATGCTTTCTGTGTTCTATTGTTAATTAAATATGGGTTTATGAGATTTGCAAACCACTGCATTCAGTCTTTGTTTACATTTTACACAACTTTGTTTGGAAATGGGGTTGTATCTATCAGACGAGTATCTGCCTTCACTGCTCCCATACTACCATGCTTAATGTCCGTGTGTCGCTTAGCTTCCTCCCTTAGCTCCTTCTCTCCTTCTATTGGAAGGTATCAGTTCATGTAGCTGACTACATGTTAGGGGGACGCTTGTTCAGACTGACGCAAACGTGGCAAGCTGCGCACTGTTTGGAGCCATATGCGGAGATTTTCATTCACAAAAAACCCGGTAATTATTTCAACAAGTTCAAAACACTCACCCGCAGCCATTATACACCTTCTACTCTACCTCTGGATGCTCCTGCCTGATGATGCGCACCCGCACTGGAAACACAACTTGTTCTTCCCCTGTGCAATAATGCACATACTTCCGGTCTATTTTTCATAATAAAAGCCATAGATACATTCTTTACTATCCTTAAACTGTATTAGTGAATCTGTATGGCAAAGACCATCGCCTTCTGTACAATGAGCAGGAAAACACTCTGTCTAAGGGAAACTACCATCACTTTTTGTACCATGAGCTTTCCTGTAGTTGGCTTGTAATTTTCTCGACCAGTTACGTTTAAGTAGGTTTTTGCTGCATATGTAGCAGGTTGAAAAAGCTACATGTTTGTTTTTGCAAGAAAACCAATTACCCCCTTATTTTTTGTTTATTATTGTGACTTATTTTGACATTGTTATGTGTTGCCAGACCATGGTTATATTTCATTATGCCAGTAGATGGTGCTCTTGCACTGCTGTGAAACTACCAGAGAGACTCTAGCTATAGGCTCTGCGCATGCGCAGCTCAGAAATAAATGAGCTCCGGCCTGAGCAAGACGCTAACTTCAGTGTCCTCTCTATTAATCCACAGGTACTGACAAACAAACTTTTATGTTACCGAACTGGTAATAAATGTCATGTAAGTTGAGTAACAACTGTTCGGCTATATTTTGAGATGAGAGTGGTATTTTGTTGTAATGAGTATTAGTGTATCATCGGCATAATGCTATAATGCTACGTAGCACTATAAGTATATGCTATGATAGTGGCAACCTGCGACTTCCGAAAATGTGTTTTAGTGTTTGTTTTAGTTTTAGCCAAGCAGTACTGAGTACATGTATTAAGGGGAAAGGTTTTTGTTGGTGAAACAACGTTTGCAGTCGTCTGCCGCCATGTTGTGTTGCGTTCAGGGGACGCCATGTTCAAAAGTAATAGCGTATATGGCGCGAATGTGGGGAAAGGTTGTGTGAATGTGAGATGGGTTATTTTGGTATGATGTTATGCTTTAACCGCGAGTGTTTTGTTTAAGTTGTGAGTATGTAAAGTCATTTTGAATTAGTTTGTATTTATTTTGCTTTTGAGAGAATGCTTTTTGTAACTTTATTTATGTTTATGAACTCTGTTATTTTATGGGAAGAATGCATGGTCTAGTGTGATTTGTATTGTGTATATGTAGAAATAAATGAGCTCCGGCCTGAGCAAGACGCTAACTTCGGTGTCCTCTCTATTAATCCACAGTTTGCTCATATTTGGCTACGCAGTGCTCTCTAGCCTGTGTGCCGCTTGCTGCCGGTCCAGATTCCCCTAGGTCTGGTGCCGGTAACACATACATAAAAAAAAAAAAGTGTGTGTGAAGCAAAGGAGATGAATTAGGTCAAAATGCAAGCTTGAAATAGATGACTATCCGGTTGTTCAGTGATGACGCGACGAATCCTACTTCCGGGTCTAAAGTAGTCTGCGTTTAATATGGCTTTTGTGTTGTTAACATATTTAATGCTATGTATTTTCTTCTATTTGATCTCAAAAAGCTCCTAAAACAGTCAGTGATCACTGTTGACCTCCCTCGGCTTTTATTACCACTAATCATTTATTTAAGCTCAGTTTTTAAAACCTTAGGATGTAACTACAGCCCAGCCCATACAGCAGTATATGAATGACTAACCTCGTATTGTGGATGGATTATTTCAGTTGTTCTCCTGGCTGAAGTTTTGTCCTTTTACAGCATCCTGCCATGCGATTACATTTGTTCCTGACCACCGACAACACTCACGTTAACTTTTATCGAGTGGAAAAAAAGTTAGTTTGTTCATATTATGCTAACATAGCTGTGTCGCTAGTGGTCACGTAGCACATCATTATATACCAGCTAGCCAAACTTCAGTAACCCTACAAACGTCACTACTGTTTCGTTTTCTGTCTTCATTTATGTTGGAAGTGATAACAGAGATGTACGTTTTAATTTGTTTCCAAAACCCCGCAGTCAGGACATGCTATATTGTATTTAGATAGAAGCTAGCGAGCTAACTGCACTCCACACTGTATATAAATGCCACTTGTTTTGCACATATTCAACTCTGTATATTTTATTATTATTATTATTATTTTATTTTTTTACTATTTAATTTGTAAAAATGTGTATACACACACACACACACACACACACACGTAGGAAAATATTTAGTATACACATCCAGAAATGCATACACTATTATATATTGTACATATATTTATTAGTTTCAGGTTGGCCATTCTTGTATTTTGCTCGTTTGTGTTGTTGTGTTTGCACATCTCTGTTGCTTGTGGGGCTCGCACACAAGAATTTCACTCGCATGTGCTGTGCCAGTGTGCCTGCACATGTGATGTGACAATAAAAAGTGATTTGTGATTTGATTTGATAACTTCCTGCTAACTTCTAACTCCGTTAAATGTCATAAATTCCGTTTTCATGGATGCCTGGATGTTAAACTCAATTGTTACACCTGGTAGAGCAGAACGCTGATCATTTTATTAAAGATGAAGACTTTAGACAGTTTTTCAACTCTCAGTAATGCCACAGTGATCGTTTGATATATGGACCTGCAGCGGAGTTTAGACCCAGACACGGCTAGTGACGTCAAACTGAACAACCGGATTAAATTATCTGTATTTTAAACAATCTGGATATATTATCCATTATCTGAAGATACAGGCTAGACCAAAAGGATTGAAGCTTTGTCTCTGCAGTTTCATGTTTGTACTTAAGCAGAAGTAATAGAGTACCAGACTGATTGTTTACCAAAGCAACACTTTCATGAAGAAGAAGTTTATTAAAGCAATTTACAGATATTTCTGGGATTAAAAAATAATAACAAATATTCCTGTGAAAAAACTACAGATTTTTTTTACGTTGTGAACATCATCCAGCATGAGGTACAACAGAGCCATTTATTTATGTTTTGTTAAAAAAATGAAGAAAAAAATTCTATTATGAAAACTGTAATAAATATTAAGTTATATTTAATGACTTCCCACCTAAAATGATTTAAACTGAGAAATTATAATGAGCAGATTTCCTCAACATGTATTAAAGACATGTTGTCATTTTAATCAAAGATTTAACAAAACACATGTGCAAATCCACACCCACAGAACTAACACTAAAGAAAGATTGCTGACGCAAACAAAAAGAACATACACCATATGTATTCATATAACTCTACCATATGAATAATTAATAAATATTATTTAATCATTCATACCTCATACGAATAATATTAACAGGTGTTAGGTATGAGAAATAAATGAGTAATAGTAATGTGCCATAACTTTTTCCTAATATCCCAGCTGTCGGGTAAGTGTAGTGAGGTAAAGAGCGCATTATTTCACTCCAAAATCTGGTGAGTAATATCTGTAAGTATCAACATCTCACAGTGAAATATAAATATTTTAATGGATTTGGAGCACTGACTATTTTTTACACTCGTCACCTCATTTGCCTCTGTCTTAATCTTAAACAGTGAGTTTTTTTTCAGATGGCTATGGACATGATAACCAATCAGAGAAGACCAGGTCTCCCAGGTGATGCACATGCAGTTTGCTGGTGTGCAATTTCCAGGTTGACTCTCAAAACATAATATACAAATATTAACTTTAAAAATACACATTTCAAATTCAGTAAAAAAAATACTCTAAATATTACACAGGACACATTAAAATGGCAACACTGTGGTTTGAAACTAACACATTATTTACTGTTCAGTGTAACATCGCCACTGATCTCATTATTGACACTTCACCTACTACCACATCTCTCCTTTTATTATCAGCATTTAACTTTACTTCATGTAAAATGAATACAACCCAATTCAAGCAAAATGTCTCATAAATGTACAAAATAGTGACATGCTGTATATACATATGAACAACATATGAGTTATTTATGCGCTACAAACAACAAAATACCTACAAATTATGACTGAAAGATACTTGAAATCATTCCATTAAGATAAAAGGCTGTTACAAAAAGTATTGATACCCTCTAGACCCTCAATCCTATACAGATTGGAGAGAACTTTATCATCTGAAGTTGCTTTAATAATCTGGTGTCACACACTCATAAAAACATAAGGTTAAAAATGTTGAAGGAGTTTCTCAAAATATGCTACAGAACCAAATGGCTTCATATATATATTACTCTATATAATTTATGAATGTCTCCATAGTGTAGTGGTTTTCAGATTTGATCCTGGGAAGAGACACACAGAGCACCTGAAAAGCATTCACAGTGGTTTTCTTGCTCCTTGTTGTTATGTTACAAATTCATTTTCACCTCTTAACTCGACAAACACTGCCGCATAATGACAAGGTGAAAAATGTTTGCTCAAAATTCTTGCAAATAAAAAATGAAAAACATAGGCTGTGAATACTTATGTACATTTTTTTCTTCAATACCTTGAAGCACTTCTGGCAACAATTAGAGCCTCAAGTCTTTTTGGATTGCTGTCCAGTTGGAAGATCAATCTTCACCTCATTTCAAGGTATCTCTAAACACCGCTGCATTCATATTTCTCTTGACCGTGACTAGTTTCAGTTCCTGCCGCTGAAAACATCCCCACATCATGATGTTGCCCCCACTAGCAGCTTTAATGTAGGGATGGTATGGGCCAGTTGATGATTGGTGGCTGGTTTCCTCCACACATGACCTTCAGGCTAAAGAGTTCAATCTTTGTTCCATCAGACCGGAGAATTTTGTTTCTCATGGTCTGAGAGTTCTTCAGGTCCCTTTTAACAAATTCCAGGTGGACAGTCACTTGCTTTTTACTAAGGAGTGGCTTCTGACTGGTCACTATACCATAAAGGCCTGATTGGTGGAGTACTGCAGAAATGGTTGTCCTTCTGGAAGGTTCTTCTCTCTCTACAGAATGATACTAGAGCTCTCTCAGAGTGACCATTGGGGTCTTGGTCACCTCCCTGACTAAAGCCTTTTTGCCATAATCTCTCAGCTGCCTGAGCTTCCTTTTGATTGTCACGGCACAGGGTGTGAGTATTTTTGTACATTTTATATTTTGCTTTTTGAT